AGGAGGATGTGCATTTTTAGACACATGTTTATATGGAGAGAGTGATATTTTGACCCCACCAATATGTCCTTGAAATATTTACATCGAATTTTGTATTGTCCTGTGTATGGATGTTTCAATAAAAAACTTGTACACATGTTGCAATCGTGAGGAATGGCCACAAAAAATTGATGGTTTTTTCTCATTTTCTTCATCTCTCCACAACTACAATCGTAAGTATCCAATGACAATAGGTAACTAAGGTTCTAATAAATTCCAAATGAAATTCTCGTGATATTTCCTATACTCATGTCTATTTTTCCATTGTTCACCGGATTTTTTCGGTTTTTCAGACAGCTCTGGGGGAGGGGATCCAGACCCCATGGACCCCCCCTTAATTACGCCACTGCATGAGACATATTATCTCTAACGCCTAAATGATTGAAATATTCAAAAAATCATATTTCTTGAAATGATACAATAAAAAGTGAAACGGCGTTCCATAAATAAATGTTAGGCATTTCGAATAATTGAAGCATAATTTCACGATTGATAACTTTTGTAATCTTCTGGTATGAAAGTGGTATAAGAGTGTTCTTGACGCTGCATTTTTATTTACAGAATCCCCAACTAACCGACAATGCATCTTTCTCGTACCCAGATGGCGTCGATCACAAAGTAGTGGTAGTACCAGCACCCAAAAGAGTTTTACAATTACCGCAATTCCATTCCATGACTGAAATGATCATACTGATTTTTGGAGCCATCGCAAGTATCGCTATGATTATCACAGTCAACTTAGCAACTTATCGTAGCCAATCCAGAGTCGACTTTTCTCTTAGCTGTCTTGATCTTCTGGGAACTGCTCTGGGGTGGTCAATCAACAGCTTCCGTAGGTTCAAGGGCAGCCTAAGACTCCTCTTCATCACTTGGATATTCTCTTTCATAATAATTGACGCGTCTTTAGACACAACCTTGACTAGCATCTTGATCAGCTCGTCTTGGGACAAGCCGATTCAGACGCTAGCAGAATTGAACGCCAGTGGCCTGAAGATTTATTTGGGCAAATTTGTGGTTAGGTCGGGAATTATAACAGATAACCATGGTCTGAAAGATCAATTCGTACCGATTCATGGGGTCGATTCTCTTCTAGAACAAAAAAACATTAGTGGGGCTATTGTAACAAGGAAGGAAACAGCGTTTCATTATATCAACAAGTACTTAGCTGATTATGGCGAACCTATCTATAAGATCGTGGACGAGTCGCTTACACCGGGTTTTAATGTCTATACTATGCAGAAGAATTCCCCATACTTGAAGGCATTCAACAAATGCCTACGGATTATAATGGAGTATGGTCTGGAAAAGAGTAGACGTGGAAGGAAACCTAGGCCGCATCATGAACCCTCATCCATTCTTAATATGACCCATCTAGGTCCTGTCTTTCGGTGTTTCGGTTATGGGTTGTGTTTGTCAATTGTGGTATTATTCTTGGAAGTTATTTATCGAAAGTGTGAAATTATATATCAATCTACGTTAGCTACGTAGCTGCAACTGGGACCTTGGGAAACAACCAATTTGTATTCAGTGGTAGTCAATTATTTATGGTGTTCCAGTTTGGGTCGTGTTTCTTCTTCATTGTGGTATTCTTCTTGCGGAAGTTGACGTTTATCAAAAATGCGAAATTATCAAACTACATCCCATCGAGCACAAAAACATCTCAGAGATGTTAAAAGTACGAGATTTCGAGACATTGAACCTCCACTGCGATGTTCTGTTCACACATGAATAGAACTATTATAGAACAGCCAATAATGTCCGCCGTAGGCGGCAATTATCGAGATGTCCTTGATATGTCACAAAACTACCTTCTCCCTAGTTCTTTTTGAAGCCTTTTCATGGACACAACAGAACATTTTCAACGCATCTTGCGCACATTGAATCGCTGTAAAAAAAAAAACATTTTCGAGGTACTTTTCTGAAATCTGAGCTTTTGTCAAAATGAAATTTTGCATTAGGATTCCATTTCCCTTGAATGAAAAAATGCATTAAAAATAGATTGAACATAAAAATATTTTCTTGATATGAAATTACCTTCTTAATCGGTTTCTGAGTAGTGCTTACTACACACAGACATATAATTGGAAATAGGTTTCCCAATTTTTGAAATTTTCTCCACAATGCATAATTTTGCAACTGCGGAGAAGGTGGGTATTGATGAATTCGTACTTTTATATATTGATTACACTGAGGCACCGAACAACACATCTCGCATCTGATGGTCATTATTACAAACTAAATAAGTCTACTAACACAATAAACTTCACCAAATTCCTTTCTGTTCGTTAGCAGCGTGATGTAAGCGTGACACGCTGCAAACGCGAATGCCAATTGCGAACAAGAAGAACAAAATCGAAAACAAATCAGAATTCATCGTATTGTGACGTAAGCATGAGACGTTGTGGTGGGGCAAACAAAGAAAGGGCACAAAAGAAAGAGAACAATACTTTAAATATCCTTCTAAGACCTCTTTGGGAAGTGCATATTACGCCTCAAAAAAACATCATCATGCCTACATTTCTAAAACATCCCAAAACATCCCAGGGATACCTCTCAGTAGGCAAACAAAGAAATGCCACAGAAGAACAAAAACAATACTTCAATATCCTTCAAAGACCTCTCTCGTCAGTGCATATTACGTCTCAAAATAACATCTTCATGCCAACATTATCAAAACATCCCAAAACATCCCAGAGATGTTTGTGCTCGCTGGGATCAAGGTACTGACAATGGTGTGTCCATCCATATTATTTCCATAACGGCAACTGATGGGTTCTCAGGAAATATCTATCATCTACAACAATAGAGGTAAATGCAAGATAATGTTCCATACAATCATTCATTTTTCAATTATGTCTAAGGAAATAAAAAGCTTTCTTGCATTATTTGTTTTATTGCAGCGTATAATCAAAATTTATAAGAAAAGTACAATCACCTTGTGATTGAAAAGTGCTTTTGAAATAAATTGGAAATAAACCTCATAGTGCCATCTACAAGAGAAAGTAACCAACATATATAGATCACTACTAATGTACTTTCAACGTTGCCAACATGTTTTATAAACGTGTGGATTTAAAAAAGAATTGCTAGAAGTCGTATGACTCATTCAAGGAGAATTTTTTATGTGATATCGCTGCGATATAACGAATTCCTATTGAATTATAAATGATGGTCAATGTGAACAAAATAGTTTGCTTCAAATGCAGTAGAAAAGGTGTTCCATATCATATTTGAATCACAGTTTTTAGTAGGTCGAACGAATATGAATTTTCGAAATACAACATTGTTCAATTGCAGGATCATAAAATGACATACAAAGTTTCTGAGATGATTACCTATAATGAGAATAGTGAAGTCCTGTTGGCAAGTCATATATATACCGAGCGTTAAGTATTTTTGTAACAAAATAATGGTTAATTAACTATTAATCAAGAAATACATCCATGAATGAACGTCTAACGATTTGAGTTAGTTAGTTAGTTAGTTAGTTAGTTAGTTAGTTAGCAAAACTCAACTAAGTCTATCCACATTAAACGCAAAGTTATCCAAAATCTCTAATGACTTCAATAACCACTCAATAAATCTACCAAATTATAATTATCAATATTCTCGCACCAATATCAATAAACATACGATGGAACATCTTGATTTACATTCACGAATCATAAAATTAACCTCTCGATTCTCAACTATATTCCATGAAGTATAACCAGTAAAACAACCCTTATCAAAACCAAACATATTTCATCTCTAAACCCATACCTGTGCGCATACTAATCCCTTACAATCGTCAAATACTTAGTGATCCCTTATTTCAACTACTCTCATCTCAATAATAGGTATCCAAATAAAGTAGGTACCTACAACAGATTTGAACTCACACCACATGGCACAAATTTATATGCAATCAAGAAACACACAATAGTGTTCGCACAAAAAAAATTAAAACCCTAGCGGTAATAAATGTTGACTGACCATTTCTTTGAAACTGTCCATTATATTGAAGGTAAAAAGTCATGTTGAATCGCGAATCATCATTTCATCAGTCCTTTCAGATTTCAAAATCTATAACTACACAAACACATAAAGATACTGAATATATATATGAGGCCGGCCGCGAGATCGATTCACGGCGAGGCGCGAGTGTTTCCGGTTCATATGGCGGCCGATTCTTGGCGTGGCTTATGTATATGGTCTGGGAGAGCACTGTCCAGAGCGGCAGCCTGACTAGAAAGAAGTTTTTTACTTTCCATCACCCCCATAAAATTGCGAACGTACGTTATACAGGATGAGTCATAACTATTGAGACATAGGCTAAGGTAGGGTTGTTTGTCCGATTGAGCTGAAATTTTGTATACACGTTCAGTTTGGAAGACAATGCACGATAAAGTGTGTGAAGTTATTCTAAACCCAATATGATGGACCATACAAAATGACGGAATAGTTATTTTCAATGCACTTCTACAATACGGGTATCGAATGAAAGGGTTTGTTGGGAGTAACTCGAAAAGTAATAAGACTTCATTCTGGATTCAATATGGCGGACCATCCAAGATGGTCGAATAGTTATTTTTAATGCACTTCTACAATATGGGTATCAAATGAAAGGGCGCGTTGAAATTAACTCGAAAAATAATGTGACGTCATTCTGAATCCAATATGGCGGACCGTCTGAGATGGCGAAATAGTTATTTTTAATGCACTTCTCCAGTATGGGAATCAAATGAAAGCTTGAAATGAGAGCTTTTCATTAAAACTGTTTTTTACTTTTAATTCATTCTAACTTATTTCGTATACCTATCAGAGACTTTCACTGTATAATACTTGACAACATCGCTTCCACTTAATGGCGCTTCCACGCTATTACAGCCAACAGCGGCCAGGCAAGGAAATAATATTATGAGGCCACGAGTACACGTGATCGTGATTGGTAAATTCAGTGATGGTGACGGTGATATCTCATTATGTGTCAATTGTGTCATTATCTCAGCCACAGAAATATCTCTGACTGAGAACATAGTGGTTTGTGGTGATTTAGGGATAAAAAATTAGTGAGGGAGTTAAATTAAGTGAGTGAGGTGTTCTAGCTCATTGAGGTGTGATGGTCAGAAATGTTTACCGAAGAATTCACCTTTCATCAGGATACGTTATGCTATGAGTGTTATTAGATCAAAATGGTAAATATTGCGCTATATAGCTACCTATATAGAATGTAGAAGCTTTCACCCAAGTTCGGTACAATGAACCTTATTGCATGTATTGAAAAGTAGATCGGTAGATCCAAGTAGATCGCTTTTCTTCAGCAATACCTATTTGACGAAGTGTGATTTCAGGTTTGTAAGTGATTATGGAGAAATTTCCACTGAAAAGAAGTGGCATTCCGTCCCAAGATACTTCTACATATCAGTCCGTTAATAAAAAGGTAGTTATAATGTTTTTCTCGAGGCTTTTCTAATTTTGTCAGTCCGCACTCAAATTCTGCATTTTGCTTTTCTAATAATTGGGTATAATGCGTTCATCCAGAATTTCATATGACTTCGAAAATCAAGTTCAAAATGTATGGTGTAGATAGGTATTTAGATTTTCGTACCTAACTAATTTCACATAGGTATTCTGATTCAAATATAGGTAAACCCTCAGGTAAACACTAAGACATAACAAAAAGGTACATTTAGGTATCTATATCTATCACCCGGTGTAATCATACGGTATTTACAGGAATAAGTAGATGACTTCTTAACAATTGTTTTATTAAGTAGGTATCTAGATATGTAACTATAGAGAAATTGGAAGATATAGGTAGATAGTAGGTAAATAATGTTTGCTAATCTCTTTTATACCGAACTCATCTATTCATTTTAACAAATACTCTTTGTTTTTGGATTGTACTTATTCAGTTAATGAACATAGTGTAATCAGACTTATCTTTCGTACTTGATGAGCTAAAAATAAATTGTGTACAAAATAATGTATTCACATGTTCAGTTCATTATCGAAATTCCTGGCAGCTTTCGTGAAGATAAAATCCTGTTCGTTTGTGCTATTTACATCGTGCCATGAACAGAGACAACTATGGGAAAAATCAACTTCAGCTAGTTCAGCTATACAAATAGGTAATGAACGGGCCTTCAATATTCTAGAAATTCAGAGTTATACACCTGATTTCAAGATTACGTAATGTACACAGATGTCACCAGCTGATTCTATGTGGTTTCAATATGAAAATAACTACCTAACTGAAATAAGTTTCGAAATTCATTTAACATCAGTTAGGTAGGTACCTACTTACGGCGAGGATATACCGGGGATATACCCCTCCCCATATGCCAATAGAGACAACACTTCTCTTCATTATTATCAAAGCCGAAATCAAATCCTCCCTAGGAACGTACGATGTTCTTTGAACATTATAGGGATTCCCTTTCGTGCGCTCCAAGCGATAAAAAAAAAAAAAAAAAAAAAAATGTGACACGAACATTTGTATAAATGTTCGCAAATGAAAAACAAACGTCAGGCACTGCAGCCTGTTTGGAGATTTGTTCAATATGCCTACCCAAATGTGTACAATGAAAATTTTCTGTGCATCGACAGTGTCGATTTCGAAACCAAAGAGAACCTTTGAAACGCATCAAAACAATTTGGAATGAAGTGAGACTCAATGGAGTTGCCATGCTGTCAAGTGTGAATTCTTAGAGAGGTGGCCACATCTATAATAAAATAATTGATGACATTGCTCTCAGGCTAAGAGGCTCATTCTGTGATCCCAACATCTCAACATAAATGAATAAAAATGTAAAACGGTAAAGACAAATCGTTTTCAAGAAACAGGAGAGACTGATACTAAAATGGCCTCATATTTAGCAGTCATTTTCTTGGTAGTCCATTAAAGATGCCTATTCTGGTATAAAGACACCCGAACTAATCCACGAAATTGGTTATTACTTCTATATAGTTCCAGTAGAACCTAACCCTTATCCCCGAGCTTATCCCCTAATAAGGGATTTACTAAGAAACCCCTCATCATATTTTTAATTGCTCTAATTAAAAATATTTCTAATATCTATTTGAGCCTAATTTGTTTATAGAATTGTACTTGTTATAGCTTCGGTTTTCACAACATGCATTTTTGTGATGCAAGCAATTTTTCGACCGCACCTGGAAATGCTGTATGTTTCTCTGCATTTGTATAACAATTTAGTTATGCAAGATGTAAATAGCCACATCATCATGAAAAAATGCTATTCACCACTATTCACTGAATTGCAGGTTATTGCTTTGTCGAAGTTTATCAATCGACCTTGTCCAATCGTCCATTCATGAAATCGAGATATTAATTCGTAGACTATAAAGACCTATCACGATATCATCAGAATGGCATTGTTGGAGCTGAAATGCCATTAATTTAAGGATATAGGAAATATGCTTGAAACGATATAGGATATATTTAGGTACGAACGTTTTCTCAAGATAGCCTAGAGCTTGGAACATCATGTATAATATCATTTTATCAAGTATCTATATTAGAATTTGATAATAGTATAGATTTATGAACGTTTCAATTATTTTTCCTGAAGGGTCATGCACCTAAATTTGTTTATGTTCTCTGCTGATAGCCTATTTCTTGGTCTAGTCTTCTCATTTTCAAAAAACATTTTCCAACATGAATTATTAACTATGTTCCAAGTTTTTTATCTCAAATGTATTCCTCAAGAAATAAAAAACTCGCTCAGAAATGTGGAAACCTAAGAAGTTTCAGAGAATTGAAAATCTCTAGAACCATAAAAGTTCCAATGTAGTACCAATAAAGTACATAAACAACGTTGTTGTTAACCGAATGGCAAAACTAATATCAGTATTTAGTATTTGTTCATGTTCGGTGGTATAGGCATATAACAATCAAGAGATGGAAACAATGATTAAAGGCGGATTTATGCACAACGCATTTTCATTCATCTTAAATATCACAATCACTAATAGGTTGAAACTTGGTATTCCCGTTATTCGCTAAAAGATGGCAAACTTTTATCTCTCAACGACAAATACAAATTATACAACTGTCAGAAGGCAGACAAACAATTTCTTCGTCTTTTTTTTTCCAAAATGTGCTTGAAAATTCTGAAAATTCTAGTCGTATGCTCAAATTAGACTCTGAAAACCTGAAAACAATATGAATGAATGATTCTTATTGTAATTATGTGATCACTGAATGTTATAACACAAATATTTCCATCGGTCTTAGTACGCTATGTTTTGATCAAGAAGAAGAGTTTAAAATTAAAAAAGGTGGTGCATAAAGGTATCATAGTCCTTAAATAAAAATAAACTTTAATGACAGTTAATGAAAGCAACAGATTAATGAAAAAGCACTGTGCATAAATCCACCTTAACTAGTACAAAGTGTCTATGAATGCATACCAGCAAATATCACCAAACTACACAGATGCCGAGATGTCAGAACCAAATTCGTATATACGCATGTGCGGCGTCTACAAAGCTGGTTCATTATGTCTTCTTCGACCACTCCACTTCACTTGTCAAATATAAATAATCAGCAACATACTTTTTCTTCAGTTTTATCAATTAACTTATTTAGATGCTGATCTGCGAAGCCACATTGGTCAATTCAACGAATAGTGCAATCATGTTTTTTCAGTGTAGGCGATGTGTGAAATCGACGATAAATTTTTGTCCGTGTAACGGTGGTACCGAGGGTGGTGTTATTCTAGGTAAGAAATTTTGAGCCATCGAACGTCTAAGCTAAGGCGGCATCAAAGCTTTCACATCTGTGTAGTTAGTTGATCTGTGATACTCGTACCACCCCGTACAATCCAATCTGACAATTTTCTGTCACGCAATACTGTCATCTGTAATGTCGATGCTGTCATGGTTCATAACAGGAAGCGGCAAATGGAATAGATATTTCAACGGCCACTATAGGTTCGATGTATTTATAGCTTTTCCTCTCGCTTTTCCTATCTTGGAAGAATAATAACTCATTATTATTACTATTTCTTTTCTTGAGCTCAACAACAACAATAGGTACTTGAAACAGTTGCCATGTGAGATTTTATTCAAAAACTTGATTTTCGAATCTGATGGATGTTTTTTTATTGCTTCTATCGGCTTTTTTTGCTATTTGTTGGATGAATGTATTTCAATGCAATGAGGGCTAACAGTATTTATTCTGCACCACATCGCGCCACTGAAACGTGCGAGGTCAGAGTTGGTAGAACGTGTATAATCTCTGGTAGAACTGATACCTATACTTCTTCTTTTCGTGTAATTTGGCCTGTTCCTACGATTTCTTCTTCTCCGTCAATGTAAGAATTTTTCGTAAAGTTACACATTGAGGTTTTCTATTTGTTCAAATATTCTACATAATGTTTTCCGAATATTTTCGATAGAACATCAGGCCACAGCCTTTAGGATTTTGGAATTTTTGACTTTGACATTGACCTCACGTTTTAGAAGCGCCAACTGGTGAGACCCTAATTTAACCCATTTTATGTACAAACCTATCGTTTATGTATGATGAAGTATTATAATTCAGGTGGTTTTTTCTGAATGCCTCAAAATTTACTACAATACTCGTCTGAAAACCTATTTTAATTTAACAGTATTTGACCTTGATTTTTGTTTGGCATCGGCGATATGAATTTGAAAGTAGATATCGCACGTTGAGATCAATAGTGTGACAACTCAAAAAAGTTAATTTTTGAGTAAGAACCACCGTCGGATCGGATAGCAAATTTCGAGCTCTACACTTCTAGAATAGGTCTAATAGCTGCTGCGTGACATCGCTGGTCACGTTATCGTTATTGCACTAGAGGAGAAGCAGATACTACAGCCGAGTAAGAAAGTGACTTTTTGCGTTTGTCATACCTAAACTTTACGTTACGTTACGCCTCGCCTCGTATTCTGACTGAGAACATTTTCATGATGAATAATGTGACAAGTCATTAAGTCACCTTATTGATTAAACACAATTCGAAATTTTTTGAGTTGTCACGTTATTACATTTTCATCATTAAATGAAATAATGAATTGAATGCAACAAATTTTTGAGTTGTAATGTTAACAATATGGAATATTTTGATTTGTCACATTATTGCATGCGTTGCACTCAATGAAATGGAGTAGGTAATACAAGCTTCTGCAGAAAGATTGAATAATAGCAAGAAGAATATAGTCCTTAGAAGAAGAAATACAAAACTAACATGAGACTTTGGAATGTATGCAATTTAAATATTTCTCTTTGCATGAAATATCAAGCTCCACCTTATGTTCAAATTCCCATTTTGAAAAATATATTATAATTCATTCGGATTGCACATTTGGAAAAATGTGTGTTTGAAAGAATTTCCAAGATTATATTCAAATTTGAATTCCATTCATTATGGGTATTTCCTTCTTTCAGAAAATTTACCTATACCTTATTCGTGCCTATAGTCACTTTTCTCCCCAAATTATGGCATTTTCAACTTCATGCGAATTTGCAATAAAACTTATTGCTATTCAACTCAAAATTTGTCTTCTGCAAATTGTTTCTATGCAGAAACTAAAGAAAATAGAAAAACTGCCGAAAGAGGAATATTCAGCAACCGAAGGATTTCGTTGAAATGATAGGAATTCAAAGCACATCTTGAATGAATCCAGTCATGAATATAATGGGGTCTACAAATGAAGAAAAATACCTATAATCAGAGATTATACACTCTTAATCTCTGCCATAATTCATGTTATACGTCAATCTTTTGCTTTGTAAATTTCTGCTTTTCAGGCGTGACATCTCTAAAAATATCTCTAATCTCTAAAAAGATATTGAATCTGAAATTCACACAAATACGACATGAATGTAGTGTTGTGAGATCATAACCCTGTTGAATCTCACTGCACACTGTTTTACCACTAACCAAACCGATTTTTTACACCTCGAGACGTGTTTCGCTAACTATGTTAGCATCTTCAGGAGAAGATTAAAATTGTTTTCTTGTGGAAATGTCGTATTCGGCAAAGAAAAAAATGTTTCTTAAATAATGCTAACAGATATTCGCTGATATTCTTAGTAAAAGTTTGATAAAATCGTAATTCAAAGTTATTCGGCAGTGGAAACAAACGAATTGACATTTGTATTGATCAAGGTGGGTGTCATATTGAATATTATTTAAAAAAACGTTCTGCCTTTGTTTCCACTGTCAACTAAATGTTTCATCATAATGATATTATACTTTTACTAGGAATATCTGTAAGCATTATTTTCGAAATAACACGATTGTTCCCTTCTTTGGGTAGATTCATGTGGACATTTCCAAATAACAAAATGGCTATGCTAGTTATTTAGTTCGGCACATCTTGCTCAAGCAATTTGAGGACCCGATAACCACTCCTAAGAATGTCTTGAAAAAAAAAGTCCGGTGGTGAGGGTGGTTTCAACCCTTCTACAAATTCTTTTCGTTTCTTTGATTACTGCAAGAAGGGTTGTAATGCACTTCTGTCAAATTTCTTCCGATTCGTTTCACTCATTTTTGAACAGCGCACAATTTTTTTTAACTTTGAACTCGTTTCACGGACAAACGGTATACATTTTTTTTATAAATAAGTTGGGTCCTAAAAACTTCTTTTCAATTGTATTACACGTGGTAGCTCTGTGTCCCAGCAATTTTGGGACACCCTGTTTGTCTGAGATACCCATGTCATTATTGCATGTATCGGTGCATCAGTTTTTAGATGAGTTAATGTAATCTTCAATTTTGGCGGAAGACGAGGCTCTTTCACCAATAGGTATATTATGATGTATGGAAATGCACGAACATAGGTATAGTTTTCAACTTTTCAAAAGGCATGGTTCATCTGATTATCCTGTTGCACGTTTGAATTTTAGTAAAAATTGAAGGAAAAATTTATTCGCGGATAAACTATAATGAATCTTCACATGTATACATCTAGGAAGCAATTTATAAACTGACGTTATTGCATCAGTGAAATATTTTTGCAATGCAATTTTCAATCTCTATAGTGTCTAATTTTCACTGTAATAATTAGGAATTAGGCGAAAATTGCAGCTCAGATAAATAACTATTATGACTGCAGCTTCCTAGGTAGCTATTTTTATAAGTAAATAGGCATATACCGTATACCGGTGTAAGTATAGAAAAGTTTAATTTTTTTTTCTCAAATGTACATGGAGTTTATCAGACGGGATCTAGGTAGGTACTTCGCCAACTTCGACCTCCTGTTCTGCTCCAATAATATACGTATCATATGTTTACATTCATGGCAAGTATTTCTATTTCTACTATTTATACCTAAAACTGTTATCGATCATGATCATGCCACAACACAAATTTGCAGCGCGCATGTTACAGTGTTGCCAGAGTGGAAAATCGAACAGCACGAAAAGTAAAAACAGTAGTTTTTTCTCATTAGGTTTCTGAAGTTCTGAATCAATATCTAGATCGAATGATAATATATTCTACAATTCTCACTACCTTATAACTTAGCTTACATGTATACAAGTACTAGGGGATACCTACAACTTTTTTTCTATACGGCAAAGTAGCCTTTTCAACAGTCAAAAGTCAATTCAAGTCCATTCCAGCCATTTTGTTTGTTGTCCATTATGGTGAACAGGTCCATCAATGTAATTAGTGGAAATATTGATTTACAGCTATTATTCGTAGTTATCAAAGTAAGTTAAGAAATGAACAAGTCTTGGATTCCATCAGGTTTGCTCTGCTGGATATAGAAATACAACCAATCTGTATCTGTATTCCATAATAATATGTCAAAAAGTAGGAGAGATTCGTAAATACGGATTGTTTTCATATTTCACGAATTACAAAATTAATCAGAATAGAATTCAGGAAACTTTCAAAAATATTGTAGTTGATCTGTCTGAAAATATCACTGTGTAACTGGATCATATACTTATAGTCTTTCAGGAGTACGGAAAGACCAATTCATCAACACAGCTATGTTCAGGGATTGATCATCTTCCCTGTTTATTTTCAAGATCATTCAGATAATTATCTTGATGATTCCAGATAAAATAGACATAACCTAAAAACTCCTAGAAAAAATTAGAATGTTAATGTACAATATTGATTAGATGTTTTGAGTAACATTGAATATACGTTATGAAGTAACCTTGATTTTATGTAATTCCTGATATATTTATATATTTATCATCATTAACATAACATCGTAATATTTGAAAGAGGCACAAAGGCCCATTGCCGCAACGTATCTGTAAAATCAAGCATCTCTCTGAATAACATCACAAAGTGATAATGACAATGTAATATAACATTAATGTTTAAGTTATGTTTTCATGTTTAGTGGGCAATTAGAAACTTCAAATTTCAGATCGATAATTTTCTGATTTCATTATAATGTTATATCTTCTCAATACCGAATCGTTGTTCTTCCTGTCACAGAAAAAAAAGTGTATTATACACGGGAGGAATATTACATTTTAGATTACGGTTTTTTGTCCCGTCCGCTATATGCGTCGGGAGACAATACAACCTCGAGCCAAATTCTAAACTTTGTTCCCTTGTAAAATAAATAACTATTCTTTGGGATGTCAGCTCAGAAGCGTGCTAGCTTCGAGCTTTCCAGATTATCTACTCTCACACATAATCTATTCCAAAGTAGCAGCTCTGGCAACACTGCCGCCCCCATTTCTCATCTCCAGACCGAGAGAATCCGAGAAATCACCTCTCGCGATTGTTTTCGTTCGATGCGTTTTGTTTATCGTGATCGTGTGTAAGGCAAGGCAAAGGCAAGCAAGGCAAGGCCGTCTTTCTGCTGGCGCGATATGTGAATCTCCTCATATCCGTGAACGTGCGTCATTCTATGACTGTGTTGTCTATGCAGTTGCAGTACGCTAACGGCAACAGCAGCAACGTTTCGACCTTTGGGGCCTCCGTCGATGAGGACATGATCGACATCCAGACGTCAGCAGCAGGAGGAGAAACGATCAGGGATAGGACCTCCCGTATGGGAGAGGAGGATGACGGAGTATCGCATTGTAAGTATATATGTATAGGCACAGGGGCGCCCGCGGAAATATTCTCCGGGGAGGGGGCAAGTCACAATTATAATGTTCAATATTCAGTAGGTACATGTAAAAAACAGTTTTTGCCAACCCTATACACAGGGTGGGCCATCAGTAACGCCTCGGTCTCTAGAAGGCTAACCACTTATCTTCTTGGAATTCTTCCTCTCTAGGAAGTTGCATGTCAACATAGGCTACCATTTGAAATTATTTCAAAAACCGCAAAACACTAAAGTTATTTTTGAATTGAACACCCTATATATTATTTCATTTTGAGATTCTCCCTGATGACCTGATTTCAACGACCCATCATACTTGGGGTCTAGCATTAATAATTACTGAGATATAGGGTGTGAAAAATCGAGATTTTCCAAGTTCAAGAATTTTTTATGTCTAAACTATTCATAATTGGTCAAAACGGTTTACATGTCCCTATCTCAACTTTTTATCCACTATCAATTGATATTCGATTAAAACGAATACTGGGTGGTTCAGAATTGAGATTTTTGACCACCCTGTATCTATTTTAATTAAATACCAATCGATAATATGATCTACGTTGGGACGGCAACGATTATTCTTTGAAGTTAAAAAGTCAGAATATAAACTATTCCCAAATATAAGTTTTCAATTTGTTATTAACTATACTGAATCAAACATATTACATGGTGGCAGCGGTAAAACGTTAATGAGACCGTTAACATACGAAATTGAATCTGAAGCAAACATAAGCAAGACTGAAAATGAGTTCCGAATCAAGATCACGTTCAGTAATGGACCTCAATGGTAACGTTTCCGAAAATTGGAAGCTTTGGAAGCAAAAATTCAGCCTATACATGATTGCAAGTGGAAAGAATAAACAGGAGGATAGTGTGAGGATAGCCATATTGTTGAATTTAATTGGTGACGAAGGTTTGCGAATTTATAATACATTTGAATATGACGAAGGTCAAGATCTAACTAATTTTGATATAATTATCAGCAAATTCGAAAATCATTGTAGTCTACTGAAAAATCTAGTTCTGTTACGGTCATCAAAAGTCTTATCATAGCTTGTGAATTCAAAGATAAAGATACATTATTGAGAGATAGGATAGTATTTGGTATTTATAAGAAGAGAATTCAAGAAACACTACTGCAAAAATCGAATTTAACCCTAAACGACGCGTGTGACAGATGTAGGAGTTTGGATATCAGTGAAAATACTCAAAAAATAATAAATAATCATAATGAAATCAAGCATTTCCATAACGTACATGCAGTTTCTAAACCAAGTACCAGTAGAAATTTCAATAGAAGTACTTCTTATTTTCCACGAAATGAAATTCAGAGAAACTCATGCTACAGCTTCTATCATTCTATTTATATAAAACATAAAAATAAAAATAAAACAAAATGAATTGAATTGACATCACAATCTGTTCACGGCCAAAATTACAATGAACAATTGCACGTGATAATAATCATAATGTTGTTTGAGCCAATTTAGCATTCATCTAGTCTTGAGCAAATTCATCAATTACTTCGTTGATGAAATTAACTCTTCACTATAATAAGCGAATCAGAATAGGTATTGATTAATGCAAATGTATCTTGTTGAGAAAGGAAAGTATATGAGTAAGGACCAGGCGTAAAGGGGGGAGGGGGGGCAAGCGCTCCTACTTGCCCTCCTTTGCGGGCGCCCCTGTTATAGACATATTCGTACCCAACTGACAGTTTCTGATCTTGGACTTGACCTCGTATGCATTGAGTACTATGTAGATGAGGACTGGGCAGCCAAATATCCAGTACCTATCTTGAATAATGAACCACGACATAAGCCAACTTTGGCCATCTTGAACCTAATTGCTTGGTTTATGAAGAATGAACATCAATCAGGGGTTTCGAGTGCTCAAAAATTATACGGCCATTGGGTTTATTGGGTCACTATCGTCGTAGTGTCTAGGCATAAAGCGACAGAGACCTTCTTGATTATTTCAATTGTGCAAAGTTTAAATCCGTCAGGTTTCCAGCTGTTGTTCTCATTGTGAACAGATTCATTACCTTGAGTACCTAGGTTCAACAATTTCTTAGTCAATTTTTCCTTCGATAATGCGTCTTGTAACTTATGTTCTCCCAGAAGGTTATATCTCCAACCGCATGTTAGTGCCTCTAATATTAATATAATATGTATGTTTGTATCTTACAGCAAGAGTGATGAGTACACTACCATCCATAGGATCTATTTTGTCCTCTGTTCTTGTTATGTTTCCAAGGATCCCTCAGTTCTTGTTATGTTTCCAAGGATCCCTCAGTTCATAGCTGGTCTTCTAGCCATCTAGACTAATTTCCATAGAAAGTTCAGGTTATAAAGCGGTTCAGGTCAGATAGATCTCTCTCCTCTATTTCATGTGTTCCTAGCACTCTTGTATTGCGCAGTGCTACGCAGTTCGAAAGGATGTTGAATAAAGGTTTCGTCCTCTTCCTCGTAGAACCTGCATTCCGTTTTCTATATAATACTCCGAGTTTTGTCTGTAAGATGTGTTTCCAAAATTATCTCTACTGGTCTCATCTCTTGTAGATTTCTCCAGTCATCTGACTTTCGTGATCCTTTTCTTTATTAAGTTTCGCCTTTGTCCTATCCGATATGTTCTGAAACACATTGAAAGGTGACCTTATCTACTTTGCCTAGTTCGTTGAGTTTACCTAGCCACACTTCGGCTATTCCAGACTGTATTGAACCAGAATAATATGATGAGTAGCTGTTTCCTTCCCTTTATTACCAGCCTGAACATGGGATCATTGAAGAAACAATAATCGTCATGACTCAATTCATTTTCACTCGATTTTCACTGCACTGTCATCGGAGGTGTTTTAACCCAAGCAACCTAACCTGACCAAGTTCTTGATCTCAGTGAGGTAGGTATACGGATGAAGAATCAACTGGTACCTATTCATTCCTACCATCATGTACATAAGGCAAAATTCGAGTAGATTGAAATAATCTAGTCCAGTGACTGAAACAGGTGTTTATATTGCGAAAGATGGAGTAGTAATGATTTTGGTACATGTTGTTTAGTTTGGAGCTTTTATAAAAAATACAAAAATACGACTTTGAGAGAAGTCAGCGCAATCCACAACGGTTCATTTCAATCTTGAGGAGGCTGAAGAAGATGCAACGCTGTTTTATCTTCGCGATCTTTTAGTACTGATAGCATTAGGATCATCGAAGGACAACCGGGAGAGAAAATACTGCTGAAAGGGTGTATTCGTCGAAGAGTTCCAAGTCAAGAGAAGCAGCCGAAAACATCATGTTTTACATGCTTTCACCACGACATCACCCCTCTTCAATCAAGGAAAGCAAAGTTCCTTCAACTTGTTCAAAGAAGATCACAAAGACGCTGGAGCACGGCTCGTTGATGACAGCATGGGTGAGGAAATCATGGAAGATGTCCACTATTAACGTTTTGCCAAGTCATCCATCAAGAACTAATTCGGCACGGTGGCACACTCTTAGAACCTACCATCAAGTCCAAAAATGTTGTGGAAGGTCAAAAAATCCATCCGAGTGTGGCTGGAATTTGGTATGAATGGGCTCACTACAGTGACAATGTAGGAGAAACCAGAGGAGTGCTCCGTTGTCTGCGGATTCTGTAATGGCGAATCATTTTACAATGTAGCCGAGGCCGTTATCGATAGCGACGACGAAGACAAAATTCCATCAGCTGGTCAGATTTTCACTGCGTATAACGTACACTACGAGCCATACTCATTTTGGAAAAAAAAAATACTATGGATTGGGGCTACTGGGGATACCACAGTCCGTTTACTTTACCTGGTGGTGGTGTGGAAATGAATTGACTTTGAATTTAGAAAATTATTATAATTCCGCAACGAATAGCTGTAAATCATTTATGGAAGAAAGTGTTTCTATAAAAATATAGTTTTCAACATTGTACTGAATTTTTTGTCGTAGGATCAACCGTTAAAAAGTAATTTCGAAAGAATTAATTTTGTTGTACCTTTAATCCAAGATGGCGGATCGCACCGACCACCTCCCCCAGGTCGACAACTCGGATTTTTTATCGGGGCACCAAACTCAATAACATATACCATCATTAATCATTAATTTGAGCATAATTGGTTGATTGATTCATAACGACCATCAGTCAGGTTTTCAGTCATTGGGTTTATTGAGTTCCTATGTGATATTGTTGATTCGAGTATAAACAGATATTAAACCCGACTACGAAAAGTGTTATCTGATAGGTAATGTGAGAATCCATTTGAAATTCTAATTCAACCTCGAATTTTCTACTGTACAACTTGTGCTAACACCATGTTTCGTTTTACAGATTCTGTATCGTATTCAGGAACGCATGGTGAGAAAATGATTGCTTTATCGGACTGTTGATTTGTTAAAAGTGTTTTATGTTGATAGAATCCGGTGACATTCCTGGTATTGGACAATATGAAGATTTCCACACTATCGATTGGCAACGGGACATTGCCAGAGATCGAATGCGACACAGGTAAACATAAATATTCACAAATCATATATAGGAGTATATATACCAGGTGTCCTCATAGTGTGGAGAAGCTCTATAGCTCCATTGCAATTAAGGATCTTTTTGGGGATATAGTACAATATTGAGGGCTCTACAAATTCCAAGTTAGTCTGATTCCTATAGGATGTTTTTTGAACGCGGGGCCAATAAATCCTGATTTTTTCACATATTTTGAATTGTTATTATCTTGTCTTCTCAATTAGAATTATTTCGATTATAATAGGTACACATGCAGATGTTGATTCCAATAGGTATGCCTATACTGATCTTAGTTTTCAAATTTTCCATCCAAAATTATGCAAGTCCTTCAATGATAGTTCTACTATCGCTTCAATGGTGTCATGATTGAGAGTTATCTCACAGGCAGATTCATAATGAACTGCCAATGTTTATTATTTCATTCATTCCACATGATTATTTGGAATTTTTCTCTCGTATCTTTAAAATAAAAATATGAGTATTATTTCAATATATGCATAGGACAAATCAGATGCGTCACTGCGTTCAACAAATTATTCATCACTTTGCTTGGGAAAACGTTTGAAGAGAAGAAATATAGATATATTGGAATAATATCGAATTTTTACTTATCTTTAGACGATTCGGGAACGAATCTGCTCTCGTTCTCGACTTCGTTATTTCATATGAAACACCCTGTATACATCAGTAGACATGGAATCTTATTTCCATCTTTCATCTGACATAGTATTCGGAAGTAGTGAACTAGAACTAGAACTAGAACACAATACCACCGTGTTGCTAAATTCTACAAAGATTTCCATCAAGGTCACGTACTTTGCATGGATTGGTGAATCTGAATATCAACAAGGTTATATGGTGATATGAGGAAGAAAATATCGTTTCTGCATGAAAAAGGAGACTACTATTACTAACTCGGCCTAATCTAACCTTTTTTCCTGAAAAGTATAATTTTTGAAAAATTACTCGAGTGAAAAAAAAAATTGACGCCTCGCAGGGGTTGAACCCGAGCCACCGCCGTGGAAGTCAGATACACTTCATTCATAGTCAATGAATCTCACCTCATTAAGCCATGTTCCCTAGAATGAGAAATCCCCGAGGTGAACCCAATTGGGCTAGGGCTGAAATACAAACATTGGCATTGATAGAAATTTGCTTGTTTACGAGAAAAAAAAATTCTTTAGTGCTCATTCCCCTTTAACTCGTTCTTCCTAAGCATATTAGTGGCCACGCCCAGAATCGGCCACTGAGCAATCGCCTTAGTCGAGAGTTCTCACTATAAAAAAGAAGAGATACCGTGTATTGTGGGTGACGTCACTTGACCTCGAGATATCAAAGATTTATCGGTATGCCTAGAAGCTTGTTGAATAACAAACCATCCGCATTCACAAACAATCCAGTAAATGAAGATTCACCAGTTGGCGAATTTAGCAACACAGTGTTTGCCTCTCCCTTCCATGCAATGGAAATAAATGGTCAAATCATAGGCGCATCGTCAAGAAGAAACAAGATTCGATATGGAACCTGATAGAGGGCGCTCATGACGCATGGTCGGGTTGGCTGTGCGTCCTGCTGGTCGGTCTTTTCACCGGCGCTGTTGCCAGTGTCATCGACATAGGCGCAACATGGATGACAGATCTCAAGTTCGGCATTTGTCCGCAAGCCTTCTGGCTGAATCAGGAGCAGTGCTGTTGGTCATCGAACGAGACGAGCTTGGAAGCAGGTAACTGCTCACAGGTAAGACAGGATGGTAACAGTGAAGATTTGTACAAGCTGCATAAAAGTACCGAGTGGTCAATCAAATGAAGAAATTTTGTATTATGTGTAAATATTTTATTATCAAATCGCAGAGCGCTGTCAGTTATTGAGCCAGCATCAGTGCCATACCTGCACGTAAGTTATATTCTATGAAATGTTGATGTGAAAGTTGAAGATAACTCTCCGAGTATTTACAAAAACGTCCAAATATTATTGGACATCATATGGTACGAACGGTAGTAAGAACATTCTACAAATGAGTATTTTTTCCCACCACATCGCGCTTCTGAAACGTGTGGTCAGAGTTGGTTTTTCTTTTCGTGTCAGCTGACTTTCTCCTATGTAATCTTCTTCTCCGTCAATGTCATAAAGTTCCAAATTGAGAATGAAACAACGTAAGTCTACTTGAACTTGAAGTTTTCTATTTGTTCAAATATTCTACATATTTTCTTCCGAATATTTTCGATCAAACAAGGCACAGCCTTTAGGGCTATTTTAGGGATTTTTGACTTTGACATCGACCCAAAGTTTCACGTAACCTCAATGGAGTCGACGATGAAAATTTGGGAATTATTATAAATACTTGAGGTAAGGAAATATAAAATAAATCTATCACATTATCATGTCATAGAATATTACTTACTCGCAGGTATAACACTGATGATGGCTTAATAACCTAAAGCGGTTTGCGATGTCTGAAAACCGGGGGTTATAATCGGCAGCTAAATTATCTTATTCTCAATGGTATCCGAAAACGTACAACATATCCACGTCAAAATAATACTTCCGATGAACTATATTAGATTTACAAACGTTTTGAGAATGAAGTTGAGGTCTAGTTCATAGTTCAAAGCTTATTTATAGGGAAAATGGCTGTGCCATCGTGACTTTTTATGTATTTCTCTCTCTAACGAATGAATTTCACTATGAATTCCACTATATGGGAGTATAACTGAAATCACAATGACTGCTATTCCGGACCCTTTTGATCCTTTTATGAATCACATAACATATTATGATGCCAAATGAAACTCAGAGTAAGCATTGAACGCCTCTTCATAAATGAAAATTCAATTATTCTCATTGTTACATTGTCAGACATGAATGTGAGGATCGATCGATGAGTTTTTGCTTGTGATTGGCAAATTCGCCTACATATTATTATTCTCAATTTCAACGTATACGAATATTCCAAGTGGCAATGTTTTATTGTTATACGCTGCGTTACCTTGGCAGACATGATTGCGACATCACAGGGATGTTTGTGTTTACTTGGCCTACTTTTGTTCACCTGTATCAATGAACTACGTCAATTAAAGTAAAACACGCGTCTTACTTTTAACACAACATTGCGATTGCGAAAATAAAAGAATCTATTTGATTGGTTCAAGTTTGACAAATGACCATGGTTATCGTTTCAGTTATACCTACCGATAAACGATTGATATAGGTGAACCGAAAGAATGAAAATTGGTTAGTTATATGTATATGTCAAACTTGCATTGATTCAATCACCAGGGGTTAGAAGTGGGTCACCAGTGGGTGTTACAAGATTTACAAGGGCCTATGCCGCTACCCGTAGAGTGAATTGAATAACTACAACATAATATATCAGTTCAAAATTAAACTATTGCTTTTTCATTGCTTTATTTGTTTATTTTTTTATAGTGGCACACATGGGCAGAAATTCTGGGTCAGTCCAGGAAAGGAGCTGGATCCTACATAATTTCGTATTTATTTTACATAGTTTGGGCTTTACTTTTCGCTTCCCTTTCGGCGTCTCTGGTCCGAATGTTCGCCCCATATGCGTGCGGATCAGGTATACCTGAGGTAAGTTAGATGCAAATTCAATATTGACAAGTCAAATCCATATTCAAAGAATATCGAATGAGTTTATAGTCTATGTCAATGAGGTTTATGAAATAATTCCATCAGAAATTCAAAACCCGAGTAAACAAGATCCTATATACCATATAGCTAAAATTGAGCCAATATAATGAATGTCTTAGGTTTATCTCGTCTGACTTCGACACTCGATAGAAGAATTGAAAGTTGTATAGGTATACTTGTTTTTTTTTCATTTCCTCATGGAGAATCTGATGATTTTCTATGAAGTGACCCTACATTTTTGGTTCTGAATATTTTTCTCTGTTGAAATGAAAGCTATCGATTTGAAATTCTTGGTAAGCATTAGTATGGACCTAGGCTATCGCTCAGTCTATTACTTACACGCTGCGGTCCATAAAAGCCTATTTTACGCCCTCGATACATACAGTGTGTCCCAGCTATAACTTGTCACCCCCCTAATCTCCGATGTCGTTAAAAAAATTGAAAATCGCTCGGTCAGGTTAATTTCAATATGGCGAGGGACACATTTTTCTGCAATTATCCTATTCCGAAGTTGAAACCTTGAAGCGTAACGGGCATCAACTTTCGATTTTCGAATGGAACACCCTGTATTTCATTGCATTTTTGGATTCTCCCTGAAGAGCTGCTCTCATCAATGTATCACACTTTTTTGTGTCGAAACTATTCATTATCGGTCGAAACGGCTTTCATGTCCCTACCTTAACTTTTGATTTACTATCTACTGACATTCAATTGGTACAAATACATGGTGGTTCAAGATTCAGAATTCTGATCACCCTGTATCTGTATCTAAAAAAAATCGTAAAGTTAAAAAATCCTGATTTTGAACACCCTATATCTCTGTAATCATTCCCGCTAGACACTAAGTGTAATGCATTGATGAAAGCAGCTCTTCAGGGAGAATCGAAAAATGCAATGAAATACAGGGTGTTCCATTTGAATATCGAAAGTTGCTGCCCGTGAAGCTTCAAGGTTTCAACTTTGGAATATGATAATTGCAGAATTGTTCGAGTAATTTTCAATTTTTTTCAACGACTTTGGAGATTTGGGGGTGACAAGTTTTAGCTGGGACACACTGTATATAACTGTTGAAATTATTTCTAGATTAAGACGATTCTCAGCGGATTTATAATCAGAGGTTACCTGGGCAAGTGGACGCTAATAATAAAATGCGTGGGTCTCATCCTGTCAGTTTCTGCTGGACTCAGTTTAGGAAAAGAGGGCCCCATGGTACACATAGCGTGTGCTATAGGTGAGTCCAACATGAATAATAAAGTATCACGCAATTTCATTAGAGGAGTGTTCGATTATTTATTCATCAGATGCATTAAAAATCAATAAATTAGTAGAGAATATACACAACAAACTCACATGTAACGTTTACAGGTAATATTTTATCGTATCTTTTTCCCAAATACGGGAGAAATGAAGCCAAGAAGAGGGAGATCCTTTCGGCTTCAGCAGCTGCTGGTGTTTCTGTGGCCTTCGGTGCCCCTATCGGTGGAGTGCTCTTCAGTTTGGAAGAGGTCAGTTTCCAAAATCCCCCACAATTAGTTCAATTAACGAACAAAATATAGGGAAAATAAGCTAATTTCAATAGAGTAGTTTGTAGAAGCGCCATGAACAACATACTAGATGTCTTGACCCGTGGGGCAGCGTTTGAAGGTCATTTTTTGTTCAGGAATAGTTCGAAAATCGAGGCTTCTAGCAAAAAAGTGTAAACATAAAAAATTGAACAACATGAAATTTCCTATACACATCATTAACCCAGATATGCCTACCGTCCTTTTATAAGGACGCTGCGTAAAAAGTTTTCTACTGCGTGATTTGTGCATCTTCGCGGATATTCTCATGTATGGCACTTCTCATTGCAAAAGAAAGAACATTCGTTATAGAATATTATCAACACAGCTCATATCTGCAATACAAATGGAAATCAAGAATTCTGTTCAAGTGCTAAGCAGTTTGATGTCAATTCGGTTGTGTTGCAATTATGACTGAAATATTATTGATTTTGTGTTGAAACTGCATCTCACAACCTAAAATTTTCAAATGTTTTTCGAGAAGGCCAGTAGGCATATAAGCAACTTTTTTTCAGTGGTTCCACTTCTTCACAATCTTTAGAAGATGACAAAACTAATAATGAACAATCTGAAATATTTGTGGCAATTATGTCTCCTCACAATTATTCTGAAAACCATTTACGTAGATTAGGTCCTGGGCGTTGAAGATAAGTGGACATAGTACATAGTATATGGTTCAAAAACCTCATAATATTTTTTACACAACCGAAACATGGAGGTCGTTTATTGAGCCGACGAAAATATAGGGTTGTATCGAGTTGCGCTATAGGAGGTAAGAAATGGTACGTGCCTCTTATATGTCACATGCCAAATATGTGTGAAGACAATGCGTTGCAATTGCATAGGATGCAAGGCATTGATCATTTATCTTTTCGCAAAAGAGAACAAGCCATTCCAATTCTGGAAGGCAACCTGAGAAAAATTTTCAAACGTTCAAAACCTTCTCCATTAGAAAACGCAGATTTTCGATACGGTCATTTGCATTTGATAGTTACGCAGGAGAAGAAAACTAGATACGAATATTCTCCTAAAAACGTTTTTACCAAATACGAAAAGTGAAACGTTGCTCTCTGATGAGTTACTTGTTTCAGAATGGTTCTTATGTCCTCTTATATTATATTTAGGATATTGAAATGATCGAAACATTTATTCAAGAAAATGTCACTCATTTGTTAACTGTCCTTTTTAAAGGACACCGTCTTCTTTGAATACCTACTGGACTAGTTTTATACAACAAAAATTGAAATTTGAAACAAAATATATTCAGACATATCAGGATCAATTTGTTTTTGTCTTCAATGGATACTTTCTGAGGTACAAATACTCGCGACTACACGATTTATTTACCTTGACGTTTTTTAGCCTTTGTTGTTTGGACTAAATACGAAATTCACTTATTTGTGTTCTAGGTCAGCTATTATTTTCCACTGAAAACCCTCTGGAGGTCCTTCTTCTGTGCTCTAATAGCAGCTTTCATCTTGCGGTCCATAAACCCCTTCGGAAACGAGCACTCCGTGCTGTTTTACGTTGAATACAATAAACCCTGGATATTCTTCGAGTTGATACCTTTCATCGGCTTGGGAATCATTGGAGTAAGCGAGAAGTTTTTAGTTACCAAACTTAGACGATTCAGGGCTCTCGCTTATTTCATGTGGACTGCTAGTAGTAAATGCCAACATTGTGAAGGATAAAAAATTTTCGCATTCTCTACTGAGGCAGAAGTTGCACACACACTTGCAATGACAAAATTGTTACTTGAAAGATGCATACATTAAAAAAAAGTTGCACAAAATCTGTCATTAACGGTCAGTCTATTAATAGTTCATTCGAGCAGAGCGAGATCCTAAATGGTCTAAGCAAACCAGCGAACTGCACATGCTATTCAAACTATATTTTATTTTGATTTCAGGGCGTCATTGCAACTATTTTCATCAAAGCTAATCTATGGTGGTGTAGGTACAGGAAATTCTCGAAACTCGGGCAATACCCTGTTACCGAAGTGCTCCTGGTGACCGTTATGACAGCAATCATAGCCTACCCGAATCCGTACACGAGGATGAACACGAGCCAGCTCATCTATCTGCTGTTCAGCCAATGCGGTATTTCTAATTCGGATGATTTGTGGTAAGGAATTTGGGGTATTAGATCCTAGAAATCTCGTTTGAACTTCGGGATGATATCAGGATATGGAACTGGAAGTTTGCTCGTTACTCTTGGCATTCGACTAATGAAAGGTTTTGTTATCCGGTTCTTCCATATAGTGCGATTCCATCTCAGGGCAGTGGAATAGTATTCGAGAGTTGGTGCGACCATATTTCCTTATCAGAAATATCAGAATTGTTTTGTCATTCAAAAAGTTCGGTTTTGCTGGTCCACATACAATGGATTTATCCACCTCTTGTGATTTCTCTGTGAGCACTGCCAGCAACCAGCAGTCTTATGTATGAAGATGTTTTGTTCTTTGTCAACAATGTTCAATTGGATGAGACGTTCATATATGATTATAATCATCCAAATTACGAATATTTTCCCACTCGAAGTAAGGTTATGAGTAGGTATCGCACCGTCGCACAAGCATGGTTCTGACAACTCGAAATTTCAGAGTTCGAGCGAGCATCGAGCAAGTTTGAAAGCCAGAGGAAATCATTTTCCGACAAAAGTTCACTTAAAATTCTCAGTGGACCAAGCAAAGCGCGCTCAGGTTTTGGTGTGCTACTCACGTATCTTGAATGTCTTTTCTGCGCATAATATCATTGCGAGTCTATACTCGCACCAAAATGATCAGGGCGACTCTTACGAGTTGATAACTGCGAGCTCAGACTACGAGCAATTATTTTACTCGCAGTGACGTATACCAAGATGCGTCATAGCACACCATATTATGATACCTCCAAATGATACCTTCGCTGGCTCCCTCACAACTTTTATATGAGCTGTCTATATTTTAGGAATCGTGACAGTGAGGATGTCAGGTGGATGATAATGGTTCGTTGAAGTCATTGTCACGCCTGTGTTTTAGTTGAACTACTAAATCGAAAGCTCGGTGCTCAATAATTTTGGAATTAATAAACAAAGATGTGACCGTTCAATGACTTCGTACCAATATGAATTCATCTGAATTTTGCAATTGGACTTGGAGTATCTCCTCATTTGTGACAATATTCATCCCTGATTTATAGATTCAATAACGTAACGTAACGCAAGTATTTCCCTTACACGATAGAAGATAAAACATAGGATTTTTCCAGTCCTGTTTATAGAATGTCGTTCCGCAAAACACTGATCGTGGCTGCAACGCGAGAGATGCCCATTCCCATTTTTCTATTTTCGAGTTGTGGAACATGAATAATGATATTATATAATTGTTCTACATACAATATTGATTGAGGAGTCCTGAGAAGCCTCATACACAATATCTTTTCATTTTATATAAGTCAACTGAATATTACAAAAATAACAATGCTATCAATTGAGGAGACTATATATAGTTGGAAGATGGAGATTGCATGGATATTGCACAAATCATAAATATGTCTGGTAACTTCAATTTATTCATTCATTGATAATGATCATCGATTATGTAAGATACCTATTTGTTGCTTTTTGATATGTGGTACAGGTATTAAAGCTGCGATTTTCGAAAGCTCCTAGTGCTGCCGCACATAACAGAAATCCAGTTGTAGTAGTGCCAAATATTCATAATCCAGGTTATCATCCATTGGTAGGATTGGAATAGCTTGAACAGATTAATCCTCGTGCTTTGAAACAATGGCTATATTCCGAATTCAACTGACAGTACTGAATTTTTATTCCGAAATCGAAAAAATTGACTGAAAGTGACAGATACTCGTGAGCAGATATACTATTCATTCCAAATATTTCGACTCAACATTCTGCTGAAATTGCTGACTATCAAAAGGTAGTGTGGCTTCAGTGAACTGTCATTATTTCTGAGGGGAAAGGAATGACACATTAATTTCCGTTGTTTTTCAAACATTAAGTCTTGGCTTATCAATAATACATTGATAATATCATTTTGATATCAGAAAATGCCTGTTATTTATTTAGCTCAAGCAGGAGCATCTGCCAGATCTATGACAACTGACAAATTTCACCAGCTGATCAACTGCTGCTGATTACTGATGAAAACGTGTTCCAAATTACAGCACTGTATTTTTGATTTTATATTTCGGAACACAGCTTTTTAGCAGAGTCAGTGGATCTACTGACAGTACTGACCAGTCATGTTAAGATGACTTTAACGTAAATTTCCATCAAGGGACCCTACGTTACGGTATCTTTAAATCAGGGATAAGTCGTCTAATTTTTGCAGCGACTACAACCGCAACTTCACCGACGTGAACTCGGCCATCGAGATAGCCGCAGCAGGGCCGGGGGTCCACCGAGCCGTCTGGCTCCTCATCCTCGCCCTCATCCTCAAGCTGATCATGACCGTGTTCACCTTCGGCATGAAGGTCAGTGTTGCTAGTTTCTCATTCGAACAGAATTTCTCCAGGATATCTGAAGACTTGAAATTATTTTCTCGTTGCAGGTGCCCTGCGGCCTGTTCATCCCGTCGCTCTGCCTGGGCGCCATCGTGGGCCGCATCGTCGGCATTGGCATGGAACAGCTGGCCTACCACTACCCGAAAATTTGGCTGTTCAGCGGCGAGTGCTCTACGGGAGACGACTGCATCACGCCAGGCCTGTACGCTATGGTGGGAGCGGCAGCTGTTTTGGGCGGTGTCACCAGGATGACGGTAATTCGAGGGCATTAATCAGGGCCTACTCTAGGTAAGATAGAGTAGGCCCTGCATTAATTCAGCAAGGCAATTTAACTCTATAAGGTTGCCTCATATCTTTCTGGCCTGACGTCACTGTTGTCCCAGTCGTCTTTTGTCGAGCGGCAAAATGAAAATGGCGGAGGTGATAAACAAAACAAACAAATTTAGCATTGTGCAATCCAGTGAATTTTGATTAATTTTGAAGTTTTCGAATATGTTTCTGAATTCACGAGATAGTTTACTGTTTTCCCAAAACATGCAGCAAGTACAGAAGACTGTGAAAACAGAAATCTAGAAAGATGTGTTCAGTTCCTCAGTGCTCTTATTGTACAGACACATTACAAAAACACACAGTCAAATTCTTATTGCAATAACACTCCATCAGGTCTGATTTCTGTTGGCATTTAAGGATATGGAGGTTGAGCTACTGATAAAGCATTTTTTAATAAAGAAAATGTTATTGGGAAGTCTGAACCTAATGATGGAATCATGGTGGATAAGGGAATGCTGACAAGGGATGTGAAGAAAAATTCTTGAAATTGATAAGGCCATCATTTCTGAGAAAGAAGAAACAATCAACTGGATAAATTGAATGATTGTAACTCAATGGTTTTATTTCAGTATCAATTTGGAAAATATTGTTTGAAAATGAAATAATAAGAAAATGAATCAATAAAGAAGTCCATTTTATTAATGCAAGAAAAGTGCAACATAATGGAAATATCTCTAAGATATCTTCCTTATAAGATTAACACAAAATGTTTCATAAAATTAACTGAAATTTCTATGTAAGTTTTGGAGAAAGAAGAATTATACAAGAAAATTAGTTTCTTTCAAGTTCATTAGGGACATTTTAGGGCCATTATTCCCAACTGAAGTTATCCATAATAAGTGTCTACTTCCAACTTCACTATTTCAATTATTTCCATGGTCTTCCTTCCTGAAAAATAATTTCATATGGAGAAAATCCTAACCATGGAAAATATTGGGACACAAATTTGTTTGCATGATTTGAAATTCAATATTATTTTCAATGAAAATGTTGAAAGAGCTTTGGATTCATATTCAACTCCATGCTGCACAAATGTATTTGTAAAATCCTTTGGAAAGAAGAAGTTGATTGCCTTTTTTCCCAAGACTCCTTGCTACATGTAAAAATGAAGTAGCAAGTATAGCCTGAAATAATTCAAAAATGAACAGTTATCGAAATATATTTGACCCAAAACAGAAGTTTGCATAGTAATTTTTCATTTTCCTCAGTAGTAGAAAATTACAAAAATTTTTGTTTCCCCTCTATGCGTAAAATAACTATTTTTGTTCAGCTATAGAATGAGATCTGAATAGTATCTAATCTACTCAACACCAGAAAAATATTTTTGCAATTTTCTACTACTGAAAATGATGAAATATTACTATGCAATCTTCTATTTTGGGTCTCGAAAACTGTCCATTTCAGCTCAGTTGCAGGTGATGCATTTTTGAGCGAAATTGAACAATGAATTCGAGGAATTGGAAATAATCGAAATTCAATCAATGTTGTAGAAAATATGGGAGGAATAATTACCACAACCCTCTGTTGGGCACCACTGGATAAAATGTCCGAAATGTCTTCCTGGTCAAAAAATTAACCATTCAAAGATGATTATATTCAATTATTCTTGAGATATTGCGAAAATACTATTCTAATTTCTCAACTTCAACGCCCTGTATCTCGAGAACTGAACACTTGTATGTCCCTATCTCAGTGATTATGAAATCACGAGGGCTATCACCTGTCAAGCGTTGTCGGTCGAATTTCGCAACACACTGTATATTAATTTTTTACAAAATCCACAGTGAGATAAAACCACAATATAGGAAACTTCCCCATTGCTGCCACACTTCTCGTTTTCCAGATCTCGCTGGTGGTGATCATGTTCGAGCTGACAGGCGGCGTACGGTACATCGTGCCGCTCATGGCCGCCGCGATGGCCAGCAAGTGGGTGGGGGATGCGCTCGGTCGCCAAGGCATCTACGACGCGCACATCGCGCTCAACGGCTACCCCTTCCTGGACTCCAAGGACGAGTTCCAGCACACGTCGCTGGCCGCCGACGTCATGCAGCCCAAGTGAGTGCCTGTCTAGTTGACACTAGGGTCTCTTTATTTATTTATTTATTTATTTATTGAGAATCAAATAGGACAATAACAGACGACAAGGTCCAAAATATTATCCACTAAGACAGTAAGTAATATGGTGTACAGAGTATATTCGATTTACACACATGACTCAACTATTCTAAAGTATATTACTTGGTGTTTGACATTGACAATATGAAAAAAATCACCTGCCTACCTATAATAATTACTTTTGCTTTATATTATCCATTTGGAAGCATTTTTCATGACAGAATTTAAAATCTAATCTAAAATCTAATACCTATGTATCTAACCTATATATTCAAGATTGGCAAAGATGTGACATATTGTTAATTATTTGTGCAATATAAATTCTTCATTTTTATTTTGAAAACATTCAATGAAAACTGAAATAGATCGATTGAAGAAAAATTTCTATTATAAAGAGTTGACATTCTGTGTAGTGGTGAGTTTATTCCTAAGTTTGTGCAACGAAATGGAACTGAAAATAGCTCGTTTTGTCTAAGGATACGTGAAGGAACATGAAATGAGATATTCGATAATGAATTAGGAGCATCTAGTACATTGTTCAGAATTTTAAATAATAGTTATTTATTATACAAGGGAAAAAAGTAGTAGATTTTGTCTCCCGACGCGTAGCGGAGGGAGACAAAAAACCGTGAGCTGAAATCTAATATTTTTCCCGTGTATAATACACTATTTTTTTCTGTGACAGAAGAAAGGACGAATCAATATTGAGAAGATATTACATTATTTTGAAATCTGAAAATAATCGAATTGGAATTTCAAGTTTTAACAGTAAGGACACCTGCGTTGTAGGCATCTTTATCATTCTTTTGAAGTAATCAGATATCTGATGTCACTTCTGGCAGTCTAATTCTGTGATTTGATTTAAAAAAATTGCGAATTTAGTGGTTGTTCAGTAATATACGTAACCGCTAAGTCGAATGGAAGATAAAAGGACTTGCAGTTCATTCTCGGAGACGGTATTATTGACTCATTTTTTGGAACTATAGCACAACAGAAGCCATCAACAGTGTATATATATGTGATATATATCCGGGAAAAAAGTACTCACTTCTTTCCCACGGGAAAAAAGTAATTTATGAAAAGTTCTATTTTATAACCTGTCAACAGAGATGAAATGTCAAACTTTTTTCCCGTCACAGAAAAAAAAATATATATCTGGTTGTTCTAGTGAATGAAATTGGAATTGTTGCCTGAGTCTATATGTGCTGAGTCTATATGTGCCACTGATCTTGTAATCCATAAATCGCAAAAAAAATTTTTGAATCTGCTCAAGTCTTTTTGTTTCTGAACGGTATACTGGGGACACCAGACAACTCTGTCTGTCTTTTTTATGTTCTGGTTCCCACGAAACGGGATTTCCTCTAATGTTCAGACAACATCGTGAGAACCAAGGAAAATAAGGTAGGAATTGGTGTTCTTCTTAAATTTCTGGAGGTTATATACCTCGGGGAACACCTCCCTTGGCAATGTGTTCCAGAGCCTCGCTGTTCGTTGGATGAACGGAAAGAGATGTGCTGCAGGTCTCCAAAGTGACCACGAAGGGGTGCGGAGCCTCAACTCGACAAGTAAATCTCGCGGGGACTGCCAAGGGAGGAACAATTGTTGATGTTTCAGAAGAGCATCGTCCATGGAAATATCTATGAAATAGAGCCAGATCGCCAACTTTTCTATATGGTGTTCCAGAGAAGTGAGTGAGTTTGTGTGCGAGGCATCGCCCACGAGACGAATTGCTCTTTTTTGAACACAGAGTCCCACAGTTTCAGGGTATAATTTGGTGCTGCACTCCAAATATGGGAACAGTATTCCAGGACAGGTCGGATCTGTGCCTTATAGATCTTAAGCAGCTGACTGGAAGTGAAATAGCTCCTGACCCGAAACAGAAAACCAAGTTTTTGGGATGCACTTTTAGCAATTGATCTCACGTGATTTTCCCAAGAAAGGTTATTGCTGATAGTAATACCAAGCATCGAAATGGATGCCTTCAAAGGTATGGTTACTACTGACAAGCTTATGTTGGGCACAGTGAGATCGGCTTTTCTAGAGAAAAGGCATGCTTGTGTTTTGTTTGCATTGAATGGATCCCCATTCGCGAATTGTTGCCAAGTCCATATTTATGTTGTCAACATTTCTTCCTCGTTCGTTTCTGATTTGCCTGGCTGGTATTGGAGCTCTGGAAGAGAAGGTGGTTTGGAGGGTACTATCATTCGCGAAGCTGTGTACTGGACATGAATAACAAATCGTTGATATGGACTAGAAATAGCAGCATTTATGATAAGAGAGTCAGATGAAACTCCGTCGAACACTACATGGAGAGACCTATTTGAGAGAAAACTAGCTAGCAGAGAACATAGCTGGGGGGGCAAGCCACAAAATGGAAGTTGGCATGAATTCACATTTTTACTAGCGTTACCAGCAAATTTGATGATAATTGCCTTGGCGATATCTTTTGGAAGTTATCGTTTATTCTTTTCTTCTCATTAGATATATAGAGAAAAGATTGAGAAACAACTTTTTTGCAATAGATTGACCCATTCGATTTCTATAATGTATCTTCGTTAATAGATACTAATTTCGCCATAACAAAATAATTTATATACACGAAATTTCTCGACAAAATAAAATATTCCATTGAACCAATATTAGCGAAGTTAGTATTTATACCTTCTGTAAAATGTATTCATTTGTTAAGATGAATAAGATGCTGACATGAGGCACGAAATATTCTCCTTCCGATTTCCAATATGTCCATTTTTCGTGCCTAATTGTCATGATGTTTTCTTCTACTTTGTAGGCGAAATGAAACTCTGAGTGTTATCACTCAGGATTCTATGACTGTAGACGACATAGAGGCGTTACTGAAAGAAACAGAACACAACGGATATCCAGTGGTGGTGTCCAGAGAATCGCAATATCTAGTTGGGTTCGTGCTGAGGAGAGATTTGAATCTAGCAGTCGGTAAGACATTCACAAATATAAAAATTATTACTTCATTTGATATTGAGTACGCATTCTTCATTTTCGTAGTAGTTATTCATTTATATGTTTGAGTTATTCCTAGAATAACATAGTAAAGAAATACTCTCAATTTCAAATTTAAGGACCAACACACTCACACCTAGCAGATTTTTACGTTAGTAAAGGACTTTGAAGGTTTTTGGTCTGATGAATTATCCTGAACATATATTGCAGAATATTATATGATCACAACCAGAATAGCACATTCGAATCAATATTGGCCTACTCTTAATTGAAACACACCTAAGTATATACAGTAGGGTTATCCATGGAAAAGGCCCGCCACTCCTATATTAACGTCATTTTTTAATTGAGAAACAAACAATATGCGGAAATTGAATGCTACAATGAGGCCACAGCCCTTATCAAAAGTTTTACAGGGTGATCCCTGGAAGCGTGACAAACCACGAATTATTTCTTCTAATGGAACACCTTCTTTGTATTCTTTTTGGAATCTGTGAATTCATGTGATCACAAAAATATATATACAGCGTGATATCTCCTTTTTTCACTTCTTTATCACCACTTTTTAGGGCCTAGGAAAATAATTGCTGTCTATAATTAATTAATGATCAGTTTGGTAATGTATTCGATAATGATGCAATATAATAAGTGTGGAATATATCCTCATTCATGGCTAACACGATATCTTTGGAAGCCAACAGACAAAAATAATGTTTCTGGGGTCAAACAATATGTGGACTGGAGAACGTTGTGAATGAAACGACTGCACATCTTTTGAGATTGGCTCCATATTCTTCAATGCTGAATCCTATTGGAACCATCTGGTCTAAAAGTCATACGTTGCCGGCCCTGGTGTCGTTGAACAAAGACTTTTGTTCCTCGAAAGAATTATTGACCAGGCAAAGCAGACAATTATTGTTAGAGGAGACTGTGCTCGAGCAGCACAGCATAGCAGCACAGCATACCACGATTCACCATGCTGCTGCTTTGACTTTAGAAAATATGCCCGTAGGTCGCTGAATGATGGATATTTTTATTTTTACCTGCTATCTCTCAATTCAATTCCAATATTGCTTTTGGGTGTATGATGAATTGACATTCATCGTACAGGGAGTGGAAAGAAATTCTGAGTTGAGACTCTATCACGAATCTGCGATTAGAAGTCTATAAAAATCACAAGTTTCCATCGTTCAAGTTTGAACCCCCTGATTGGGTATGAAAGTGTTGAAAAGGAATATTCTCTGATAAATTATGAACATACAAAAATGGATATATATTTATATAAAGCAATACATTGAGAATTCGCATTCTCTATGTGATGAGAATATTTACTCTTTCTCAGTTGATTCAATAGAAAACAACTATATACAGCGTGATATCTCCTTTTTTCACAATATTGTTCATTTCCATACATTACTCGCTTATAGTTATTGTATTATGAATGAGTTCAATAAAAACAAACTTGTGTTGTTGTATCCCACATAATATAATTACTGATTAGATTTCGAGGTGAACAACAACTGCTGTCTGAATTCCAATTGACTAATCTGAATTACAATTGACGATATCTGAATTTCTATTGATGCTTTCTGAATTTCATTTGACAAATCTGAATTACAATTGAAGTTTTCTGAATTTCACTTGACCAATCTGAATTTCAATTGTTTTTTTTTTCTGAATTTCAAGTAACTTATCTGAATTACATATTACGTAGTCTGAATTACAATTGACGCATTCTGAATTACAAATGACGATCTCTGAATTTCAATTGACGCATTCTAAATTTCAATTGAAAAATCTGAATTACCACTGATATTTTTTAAATTTCAGTTGACTAATCTGAATTATAATTCATATTTTCTGAATTTCAATTGACTAATCTGAATTACAACTGACGTTTTCTGAATTTCATTTGAGAAATCTGAATTACAATGGGGAAGACCACTGAGGGAAGAAATCCCTGCAAACCTCTTTCAATCGACGAATCCTGATTCACATTTTATGTACAATCAATATTATGAGTTGAAGTTGAAGGGAATCGAATCTATATCGTTTTGAAATCAGCATATTTCATTCGATATTTCAAACAGCCAAATATGATGGTGGAGTCGTGACGTATTAGTCCCGAACTGTAGCTATCTCTCTCTGATACCTCTTCATTCTGCAGTGTTGCAGTGTAATTGGTCGGTTCAAGGACAATAGGCGTGTTGGCACTAAGACGTCGTACCAGTCACACCAATGAATTGATGAAATTTCAAATGGCGCAGGAATTGTGTGTTTTGAAATGGACATATACTAATTTATTTTTTTCATCGTCTTAGCATGAATGAAAAAATTCAAAATTAATTCACTGGTAGTTTTTCAGTATAGAGTTCACGATAATGTCGTTTTAAAAAATCAGTGGTCTTCCCCATTGACGCTTTCTGAAATACATCTGATGGTAAAGGTGTAGAACAGTAATTATTGTTCGAACCCGAATGGACCTTATGTGTTGTCACTCTATTTCCAGCCAATGCCAAACGTATGGTGGACGGCATTTGCGGCCAGTCCTTGGTGCTGTTTACAGCCGGCGGGGCCCCGCAAACTTTGGGGCCGCCGCCTCTGAAGCTGAAGAAGATCTTGGACATGGCTCCGATCACCATCACCGATCAAACGCCCATGGAGACCGTCGTGGATATGTTCAGGAAGTTGGGTTTGAGACAGACACTCGTCACGCATAATGGGTGAGTCGATCGATAGGTGTATTGAAACGGGTTCAGATCACTTTTCAAATCGAATTAAATCAAAACTGAGCTTTATTGTCCAAGAAACATTCTTCCTATTGACAAAGCGTGAAACTAGCAAGTGGATAGATCCACTATGTGCAATGTACAAAGATATAAAAGATATGAACATAAAATATAATTAATAAATAACACAAATACAAGGGTATAAAACAACTACAAAAAAGCCCTAAAAGCATAACATTTATATCACATACAACGCCAACTAGGTACCTAGCATAATAGTGAAAGAATCAAGAAATTAATTATAGAAATAAATTATACATGACTTCAAAACTTTTCGTTGTAATATTCCTGCAGGTCATAGTACGCTTTTTGAATAAGGAATTTTTTAACCTCCTTTCTGAATTTTTTTATGCAGCCAGTTCCTTTGAATTGTTCTGACAAGTGATTGTAGATTTTTTTGCTCTCATATATAATGGAATTTTTTGTTCGAGTCATCTTCGGTATCGGCAGAGACAGGTGACTGTTATTTCTAGTGGACATAATATTATGATTCACCGGGTTTTTGTTCGATGAATGGTGTCTGGTGTGGATCAAACAGACTGTTTCCAAAATAAAGAGGCAGGTGAGAGTGAGAATTTGTTGACTGATAAAAAGTGGTCTACAATGGTCCCTTGCTTTAGCCCGACACAAATAGCGAATCGCTCTCTTCTGTAGAATAAAGACAGAATTCAACAAATTTTGGCTACAAAAACCCCAGAAGGCTATGCCGTACCTGATATGAGACTCTATGAGAGAAAAATACGTGTTTCTGATACAATTGATACAACTGTAATGGCATAGCAACCTGATGCTAATCTTTTTTTTAGTGACGTTACATGTTCTTCAAAACCTAATTTTCTGTTAATATGTATACCTAGGAATTTAGTATTTGTTTCTGTTTTCTATATCACATTTTCATTATAGGTCGCGTGCACGATGACCGACCCTGGAGGTAAAATATTGAAACACAACCTCACTCCTCTGTGAATTATTGAAAGACAACCTCACTTTTTTTATTTGTTTACAGAGGAATCTAAGGATTGAAATAGTTGTTGATGGAAGCGAGTCATCAGTGTTGAAATAAAACGCAGTTATTTGACGTCAATCATAACTGTTTTCTCCTTTATTTATTTTTCTTCTCGTGATTTGATGGGGATTTAGATTGTTTTCAATTAGAAGCTCAGAATTGGCGAAAACTAATGTAAAATGAAAAACAATGTATTAAAAGTGTCATTGGAGTCCTTGTCTCCAGATCCAGAAGTTCTAGAGTTCTTCTGATAGTTCCGGGGATGGAATGTTTATAATGGAGAGTAGACGGGATGGGAAATTTATTCAATTTCTGTTGGTATCGATAATGCAGCTATTCATTTATTTTCATATTCTAGGCTGATTTCGATTAATTCATCCATATTATTTCTTACGCAAATGGCGAACAGCTTTCAAATCCAATATTTTGTTTTTTGAGGTTATGCTGTCGCTGTCATTTCGGAAGCCACCAGAAAACGTCCAGAATCTCTGTACACTCGTCTTCAACGAACATGTCGCGGATGGACGGTATGAGCGCTCTTATTGCAGCGGTGATCAAGGGAGATGACACCGTCCATGTGCGATATTATCTCTGACGACGAGTGTACATCGGTAGAATGGTTTGCAATGTTGGTTGATACAACAGTAATAAATGAACGCGTCGTGGTTACGCCAAACTGAAATCCACCAAAGCATATATGAACACAGTTGGTGGATTGATGGAGCCACTAGTGAATAAAAGAACGTCCCTCTATTGTCGTCATTGTATTTATGAAGTAATTCTACGCTAAAGTATAGGGACGTTCTTTAATTCACCGGTGGCTTCATCAATCCACCAAATGTTTGACGTAACCATACGTTCATTTATTACTGTTGTTTCAACCAAAATTGCAAACCATTCTACCGACGTAAAGAGAGGGACGAATTTTGGTGGCTTCCGAATTGACACTGATAGGATAACCTCAAAAAACTAAAAACAAAATATTGGACTTGAAAGCTGTTTGCCATTTGCCTAAGAAAAAAGATGGATGAATTAATCGAAATCAGTCTAGAATATGAAAATAAAAGAATAGCTGCATTATTGACACCAACAGAAATTTAAGAAATTTCAAGTGGTAGGTACTTTTTCTTTCCTATCATGAATTTCAAGAAATTAGTGCAAACATTCAGGAAACTTGAGTACAAACAGAGAATTCTTATTAATGACTCTATCCGTATCACCAAAATTTAATGCAATGTTTTGAATGTTGGTTGTTGAGAATTTTCAACCTATCTCGCCTACTCCCCAACATAAACAAAATTTCATCCTCGGAACTATCAGAAGAACTGCTAGAACTTCTGAATCTGGAGACAAGGACTCCAATAACACTTTTAATACATCATTCTGCATTTCACAAACAGTTGTGATTGTCATGTCAAATAACTGCGTTTTTTTTTTCAACACTGATAACTCCAACAATTCGATGCATCAGAGAGTGACGTCACTTCTATCAATGATAAGGTGGTGTAAAAAAGAACATACCTCAGTTGCACACTTTTTTAATATGGAGGTGCATCCACCTGTCAGGTTTTCTCCATTCAAACTAAAAATTTTATACGTCAGTACCTTGGATATTAACTATCAGAATCCGTCTTTTTGGTCTCAGATTATTTAGATGATAAAATAAAAATATCAAATATCTAAACCTAACATCAGGTAGGCACTTCGAAGGCGCAAATTCATTAATGCATGGGAGATACCCTTCAGATTTTTAGCTATTCAGTGACTTGACACTCCGGAAATGGCAGCCATTTGGATGTCTATTGCCTTCACACTATTTATAAAATCAATCGGTAAAAGCGGTGAAAGCGGTGAAAGCGACGAAAGCGAGGAAAGCTAAGTAGCGTGTAGCTATTGATAAGCACACGGCCAAAGAGATGTATCCACGCTGCTCTAGCTGAATTCAATAAATTAACACATAATATAAAAATATTACGACATATTTCAAAATTTAAAATTGCATTGAAAAATGGAGTGACCATGATTGTGACCTAATTATTATTGTTTTATATTTCAGGCGTTTACTTGGTGTGATAACGAAGAAAGATGTACTGAGGCATATAAAACAAATGGATAATGAGGATCCAAACTCTGTACTGTTCAATTAACACGAATTCAGTATCATTTGATTTGAAACTGTATAAATTTTGATTTACTTGTATAGTATTGTATGTAAACCAATTATTAATTTTAAGTACAAGCAGTCGGTTTATTTATTAATAATTTTATTGCATATTGACGTTAATTTTAACGTGTAATTGTCTTCCCCAACACGAACCCATGGAATATAAATTATGTTTTTGTATATCTGTGTACACGGATTATCTTGATAATGCTCAGAAATAATATATTATATTGTATTTAATAAAGAACACGATTTTTATAAGCATCAGAAATTGATTGTTTTTATTTTATCTAAGTGACCTAATCAGAATCGTGGCATCTGAATTGGAGCCTTGAACTCTGCCAAATTCATGAAATAATCTAATCAACCGATGGTCAACAAACAAAAACATTGGTAATGATAACTTTGCGATATCAAACTACCTCCTTCAAGAACTAATGAAGCCGACAATCAAAATATCTGTCCTAGATTTTTAGACCCCCCCGAATAAACATTTTGCCTCTAAAATGTTCTGTCAGACACACTTCCTCATCTGGCTGGAAGTCTAAAAAGTGTAAAAATCATAGTAAATCTCAATAATACTTCATTACTTTGTAATCAGAGAAGCGGTACCTTTATTTGTTGGTTTCGTTTGATTTCAGATTATTATTTCAGTAGTCATATGGCCTATTCGGATATTCACCACACTTCAACTTGTCTTGGGTGATATCCTCTTCTTTCTTCAATCTATCTATCGGCCTTTCTTGGCCAACTTCTCTTTTCCTTCTCCTCTCCAAGCCCAACCTCACCATCAAGTGGTGTGGGGAGAACAGACCGCGGCCGCTCAACGGATGAAGCATTTTGGGACCATCTTTGTTATCTCCGACCAGATGGGACAATTTGTGGACATCTGTGGCAGGGATGGGGCGATTTGCTGATATCTGTTTAGGTGGCCGAGGACTGGTCAACGAGCCTCTGGCAACCTAATCCAAGCTGTGGGAACCCGTGGTGATGGATGAATGGCACCGAGGTATGGTGTCGCTAACGGGGCCTCTGGGAAACAGGTCGACATCTCAGAGTAAGTAGCCTTAGCCCTGTGCAGGGGGCACCACAGGTCTGGACCAACCCCTTCCCCCGTCCCTCGTAGGAGAAGGAAAACTTTTGGCCTTCTTCGTAGACGAGAACAGGGATCGGAAGAGCAATCTTCAGGAACCTGAACGAAAAGGGTCTTTCATATTGAAGTGACCCTTAAGAAGCACCATGAGTCGTATATGGTAAAATTGATAACGGCATGTAGGTAAGATACAATGGGCCACTAGGTCTAAGTGTCGTCGGAGACTTCGGTCAGACGAGCCTACAAACGGGGTGGAATGTTTAGTGGGTATACCTGGAGTCAGGAGACTCCCACACTATCATATGGGGGATTGGACCCATATGGTGTCCATAAAGGATTTCAACCATCTCGATGAAAAAAAAAATATGGCCTAATGATCCAGCTCACCAAATGATTGGTTCGGGTCAATCTCAGGCGAGCCAGTATATAATTTCCTTCACTCATTCGTATTTTTTTTTTTTCTTTATTTTTCAAGAGTTGCTGAGCTGAGCTGAATTTTGAGCACAATTGATGCGATCAAGTCTCACAGACTCTATTCCAGCTCACCAAACGATTGGTTCGGGTCAATCTCAGGCGAGCCAGTATAGTTTCCTTCACTCATTCGTGTTTTTTTTTCTTTATTTTTTAAGAGTTGCTGAGCTGAGCTGAATTTTGAGCACAATTGATGCGAT